CATAATGTGCAGTTATCTCACCTCTATGGCTGCTGTGAGGGTGCTTTTGATGCTTGCTGAAGAAACAAACAGCAGAGTGCACCAACCCGAAAGGTCATTAAGAAGCATATGTACTACGTAGCATTTGAAGCGAAAAGAGGGAGCTGAGGCAACCTACATTGGAACTCGGAGCGCTGCCGGCGTTCGATCAGGTCAGCCGCAGCAGCCACCCCTGTGAACCTCGTAGAGCCCTCAACGATTTCCTAACACACCGCATAAACAAACAACTGTAATTACGATAGATAAAAGCTATGGAGCGCGGAGCCAAGATGCTCAGGTCCAGTGCTTCGATGATGATGAGAATCTGCGCGGCTCCAACCAACTCAGCTTCGAACTGATCCCTTCTGCATCTCTTCGAAGCTTCGAGTTCTCGTCTGTCAGGGATAGGCTGCCTTTCACTCCTGCGCGAGTGCTCGGATTGCTCTTTTGTGAGCCTGTAAGCTTAGTGAATTTAGACTGTTTCGGGTTCCTTTTGGAGACTCCTTGGTGTTTAGATCCTATAGGTTGCGTGATCACAGGTGTCGCTGGGTTTTCGCCCCGCAATGAGCTGCTCGATGACGAGTGCTCATGGTGGGTTTCCTACTGGTGCCTTGAACTCGCCCCACCTTTCTAGTTTCCTTATGCTGAATTTGGTTCTTGGGTCTGTGGTTCTCTGAAGTATGTATTTCCGTTATGCTTTTAATGGAAAGGGGTTGAGGCCCGGTTCAAAAAAAAAAGCCATGGAGGTGCCGGTTGTCATCATTCTTCCATCATGCATGCTGCATTTGTTTAGCTGTGCCATACTGCCACCCATGATGATGCAGCAGAGCTGAGCTGCAGCCTGCAGGGACTGCTGAGCTGCATAGAGAAGTAGTATCACATACCAAGCCAACGGCGGCGCCGAAGCAGCCCCCGATCAGATCCCTTCTGCGGAACCGCAGAGCCTCTTCGCAAGCGGCGGCCGCCTCGGCGCCGGAGCCCCCGGACTTGGCCTGGCAGCACACCTGAATCTGCACGGAGAAAGCTGTTAACTTAGCATGAGAGGGGACTCGCGGTCTGAATCGGGAAGCATACATACGTGTGCGTGTCTGCACGCCGGCGACGAGACGGAAGGGAGGCCGAGGCGCAGCGCGGGAGCAGAGAGGAAGGTCGCGCCCGCCATTTCCCTCACTCCGTTCGACTTGAGCGCTCGCACGGTCTCGGTCACGGGGCTGGCTGGCTGGCCGGCGCGTGTGTTGTGCGCTCGGCAATTCGGCATGCAGCGGGAGGATTCGGCGGATAAGGCAGCCAATCACGGACCTGCACGTGTAGGATTCGGCGGATAAGGCAGCCAATCACGGACCTGCACGTGCATTCTCCATGTCGCCACCGCCACCACACGTTTGCTGGTAAAACTCATCGCGCCGCTGCGTTGTTCCTCCGCGTCCCCGATTGGCTTCCACATTGTTACCGAACCGTGCCGCCTCCCGTGGTCACTGGCATCATGGCTCGTGCGACAACACAGAGATGGATGATTTCTGAAAATGAGCTCCCTGCTGCAGTGCTGCTACTACCTACGCTTGTTACAGAGGGCGAATTAATGGAGCTGAAACAGGGTAGGGAGGATTCATCATCACGAGTGAAAATAATCTCAGAGCTCCAAACACATGAACTTTTTTTTTTCTTTCCGCCGCAAACCAAGATACCGTTACCAAAACAACGGAACAAGTCACTCACAGTAGTACATGCAGTCCTTAACCTACAGTTCGTGAAGAAAATAAACGCCCAGATATGGCGAGGCTACAATGCAGCAAAGACGACGAGGGGCATTTCGGGCGTGGAGCAGTTGCTATATCTAGGGCAAGGAGCGATAGCAGTGGGCCACTTGTGCGGTACACCGACGGGGACATGTCACCGTTGGTAGGCCTGGTTCTCCCTCCTCTTCACATAGCGAGTCCGGTCGCTGTAACGCGGTCTATCTTGAGCTCTCTGAGGCACCGGCTCCACCCTTCTCTGCCTTTCCGGTGATCGTTGGACGATCTCTCCGTTCACAAATAACTCGGCTGCAAAGAAGGGCAGCGTGATGAAAATCCGGGACAAATATGATCACATTTGTGAGAAATGTTCTTCATGGAGAACAGAAGTATGCATAGGTGTAGTATATACTTCAGGTCTGAAAGGATCAATTGCACTTGTACAATTAACGGCTCAGGAGGCATGTGAACAGTCTGAGGATGGTATAAACCCTTGAATAGAAAGCCATGCAAATCATGTTTGAAGGATCAGTCTTTCCAAAAGGATCATTTAAGGACTATAACCTTAACACTGACTAATAAATTAATGCACCTTTATACTCCTAAATAAGGTTTCCTCAATCATGTAATGTAGTAACTATTACCTCCGTCCAAAAAAGCTTGTCTTAGATTTGTCTACATACGAATGTATCTACGGAGGGAGTATATTGAATCAAACTGTGCAGTGAGCACATCAATGCACAGAACTGATAGTGGCTCATTAAGTAGAATCAAGTCATTTGGATTAAGGTATCACAAATCTGATTGACCAATTCTACTTCAAGGACAATCATAAAGTATGGCCTACCAACAGCTAGCATAAAATTCGAAAAATACGCCAAAACAATGGAATAGAGAGAACATAAGCAATAATCTTACCACCATAGTCCTTGTTCTCAGCATCAACATAGGAATCCGGAAGCACAAAAAGAACACCCGGGAGGCCTGTATATTGAAAACACAAACAACGGTTATGAAACCACCAGATATCCAACAGCAAAATATCTCTGAATATTAGCTACTGACATTAAACAAATGTACATATGCAGATAAGTATATAAATACCATAACACTGAAGCTGTACTCACTAGTCAATAGCAAACTTTCTCTTCAGATTAGCTACTGAACATTCCACAAACAAGTAGTATATGCCAAACATAAGGCTGTTACAGCACATTTCACATAATAAACCTTCTAGAATCAAAATATCAAGAAATCAAATCCCTGATACACCATCAACGAAGGTAAAAGTGCAGTAGCATACCCATGAACAAAAAACAATGTCCATGAACCAATATACCCATCACCAAAGGATCACAGATTGCAATAGTGCAGCACAATTCAGTCTCTACTAATATGGGACAAACATGAGCATGTTACAACTTGCCCTTTTCTCAGTATTATGTAATCCTTGGACCTTGGCATTCACACATTTTGCACTTGAAATGTTTTGACCCGCAGTTAGCAAAAGGGTGTGTTAATCATGTTATTAAACTAGACAACAGAATACTGAAATACGACTGTACATCAACTGGAAACTGAAACCTAAGATGGCACTCATATCCAATTATCACAATGTGTGCTTAAATATGGAAAAAAGTTTGCATTTCGCTGATGTATACCTTCCAGCTTGTTGGACGTTTCCTCGTCAATCTCGCACCCAAACCCAAAGTAGCGCTCACAGGACACGTTGTAGATCCTCTTCTTCGACTCCTCCTCGCTACACCGGCGACCAACAACAAAACCAAAATTAGCCTCATTCCGCGAAACACCCACGGTAGGGACGGATAGAAATCGAGCCAAACGCGCGCGGATTACCTGCCCACGACCTTGGCGAGGGTCTGGATGTAGCAGTCGATCATCTGGTGCTTGGTGGCGCCCTCGCCGCCGGGCTTGTCCATGACGATGAGCCAGTGCTCGTAGTCGCAGCCGGGGAACAGCGGCGCCATCTCCGTGGGCGCGCGGTCCCCGCCCTGCCCCGGCCGCAGCGGCGAGTACGAGGCGTCGGGCCGCCGCGCCATGCAGCGGACGGCGCGGCCGACGCGAGGCCGCGCGGGGCGAGCGGATGGGCACGGGAGGCGCCGCGGCTGGAGCACCGGCCGCGCCGGGCGCGCGGCGGCGGCGACGGCGCGCGCTGCGGTGGCCATGGCGGGAGAGTAGGAGACGAGCGGAGGAGGTGGAACCGGAATGGATGGGGTTTTGATTGGGGGTTTGGGAGAAGAGATATTATTATTTGCTGCCCGCGCCTCTGGGCCTTATTAGTGCTAACAGGCCCAATTCGTAACCGAGTGGATCTGAAACGGCCGGCCCGGCCCGGCCCTGCTCGGCACAAGACAACGATACAATTGCGCGGCCGTAATAAATAGTCTGGAAAGGTCGGGGCCACGACGGCGAGAGGAGCAGCAGAGGATAGCTTTTCCCCACGGATCCTTCTCGTCTTCCACGTGATTCGAGTCGTCTCGCCTCTCTCCGTCAGGTACGAGCTCGATCCGCCTCCCCGCAGGGGGATTTTCCGTTGATTTCTTTTCCCGTCGCGTCGATCTGGGCGGATCTGGGCCGGAATCGGCCGCGCTTGATGCCGGGTCGTTTCGTCGATTCGATCCTGCTCGCTCACGCTATTGCAATTTGGGCGCTGTTTGTTTGATGATCCGGTCGATTGAGGATAAGCAAAGGGTGTTCGGGGATCGCTGATTTGTCAAGTAGCTGGCCTCTGTTGCTGGATCTTAGCTGATCTGATCTGGATTTGCAGTTTGAGGTAGCGGTCCGTAATGTGTGGGCATCTAGCTGGCTTGTAAGCTTGTGTAGACCTGCCTGGGTAGATCCAACTATTCTGCAGTGGCTGTTGCTATGTACGCTAAATTGACCTGATTAGTTTGTTGCTCCAAGGTAGTCAGGCCCTGGAATCAGGCAATTGCGTATGAATGTTTAAGCCGCTTGAAGCGAAATACTGCCTTCTGTGGTAGTTTTGTAGCTCCAGCTAATGTTGATATTTGGTATTCTGAGTAGCAGATTTGTGCGATTTTTCTTCCAGCTATCTCTGTCCGTAAAACTGCAGGTGGTTACAGCATGGATAGTGCTATAGGCTTCCCTTTTGTTAGGAGTTTTGGGATGTTATGTGACATTCTGTGTTTTAGGACTCCTAACCATGTAACAATATTGCATACCCATTTGCATTTCGTTGATTATTGTTCTTCATTCTGCAGCCCAAACATGGACTCAAGCAGGCGCCCGAGTGGAATCCAGCAATTGCTTGCTGCAGAGCAAGAAGCTCAGCAAATTGTAAATGCTGCTAGGGCTGGTAAATTTCTTATTTTTTGGCTTAATTAATTATTTATCAAGCATAATATTGTGGAGTGAGAACATTATGAAGTCTGTGAGGGTCTGCTCTGTTTGCTACAGTGGATACTTATATTTTGATGCATTCACCGATTTTTGTAGGATTTGTCATGATCTAATGTCATTTTCTAATGAACACAAGGCCTTTTAGCTTTTTCCTGATTCGTATGTATCTAGACACATTTTAGTATGTATGTTCACTCATTTTAGTATGTATGTAATCAATATTTTGAAATGGCTAAGAGGTTTTATTTTAGGGAACGGAGAGAGTATTTGCTATGTCTTGTCTGCTATACTAAGTGAACTTTAAAGTCATGATAGATGTTGTTCCATTGTGAGTTATGAGATCATCATCTGGTTTGTAGCACAGAGCATGGTTGCTAGCGTTGTGTAACTCTTTGCGTGGTAATGTTGTCTTTCTTACTTGATAGGCCATGTCATCTTTTCTTTTGTTGGGTACAGAAAGTGAAATGTTTGCATTGCATTGTTGAGTTGGCAAAATCTGTTACGGTTATCAAAGTCTTTGGGTTCCGGGGCCTAAATATAAGTCTTTTTAGAGATTTCAATAAGGACTACATACGGATATATATAGACATATTTTAGAGTGTAGACTCACTCATTTTGCTCCGTATGTAGTCCGCATTGGAATCTCTAAAAAGACATACTTAGGAGCGGAGGGAGTACCATAGAAATATTTGAACTTCTATGAATATTATTGTTCACTGCGAAGCTGAAATTAAATTACTCCTATCTACTTCTGTCTATGAACTGAAATCTGATGTCTCTGTCAGCTAAAACGGCGAGGCTTAGGCAAGCCAAAGAAGAGGCTGAGAGAGAAATAGCTGAGTACCGTGCACAAATGGAGGCTGATTTCCAGAGGAAGCTCACCGAGGTATGTACCGCGCATCTGCACATTCAATCTGTTCGTTTATATAAGATAATAACAGGGCTTCTGATCATTTCCACTTCCAGACCAGCGGTGACTCTGGCGCAAACGTCAAACGCCTTGAGCAAGAGACAAACGTAAAGATTGAGCAGCTCAAGCAGCAGGCAGCAAACATCTCTCCAGAGGTGATTCAGATGCTTCTGAGGCACGTCACCACTGTGAAGAACTAAAGGTTGATGAGTCAGCCCTGCATATGATGGCAACTTTGTACTATCTGTTCATTTCTTTGGGAGGTATTATAAGAAATGGCTTTTGCCACTTCCAGCTGTAATTCCTTGTTGTCTTGGAAATAAGCTGCTACAGTTCAGCAGCAGCCATGTCTGATACTACTTGCTAAACCTTTGGTGATTAGTTCATAAATTTTGTCGATTTCCGCCCTTTTTGTCTCTCCCTTGTATGGCTATCAGTATATGTATTTTTTTATGTGAGATATATTATTCATAATAGTAAATAAGTTTTTAATCCATGGTGAGCTTTGGCAAGCTATGTTGTTCTGACAACAGAAATGGGTTTGTAAAAATGGAGTGCTTCAGATGCTCGAAAGCTTTTGAATGCATGACTTTTAGACGCTGGAAAGTATTTGGATGCAGGAAATGCATCCTGATTCAAATCGTAATGCAGCTATAGGCTATTGGATCTGCCATTGTATGTTCATTGGTAGTGTTTTATTCTTAGGATATGTTTGGATGGTGATAAACTTACCTACCAATATTTTGGTCATGTCCAAATTATTGGCCTTTGTTTGGATTGTTTCCATATATTTGGCATGCCTTTTTACTTAAGTTTAATTTCATGTTAATCTTAATATCTAAATAGCCACCCCACACTAACATATTTCTCTCAACATGCAAATGTACCACCTCAGCATGCAACATACATGAGAAAAAGGTCACCTTGATATGCAAACATGCTTGTCCTGTTATGCAATTTCAAATATTTTACAACAATCAATCAAACACAATAAATCATAGTATGAATTTTTTGTTTTTATATTATTATTTCATATATCCATGTTCCATAAAATCAAATATACCATTGACATATATTGCAAACATTCCCTTAATACACCTTCTGAACAAGCGTGTTGGGTTTTATGTTATGCTCAGTTACCGGGCAGGCTATGTTTAGTGTAAGGATCGCCTCACTCATGCTGCCTTTAGGATCAACAGTAAAGAGAATCATGATGCTTCTCATTTTATGTTGTAGCCCAAAGGGCTAAATTATAGTCTTCTTCCATTTTTTTATAAATTGGGGAACCCTCACCCCATTTCAAAGGGTGAAAGATACTTCAAGATAGAGAGCTCTTTTCTTCTCTTGGTCTAGCAGGAAGTTGTTCGCCTCATGTCCGCCATTGACCTACGAGCAGGCGCATCTCCGCCTCAGGCTTTCCATGAATCTCATGTATGTCTTCATTCGTAAGAGGGTTCCTGAAATTTAGGGACCACGCAAGTCGACTAATCTTTGGCATAGATCGTTTGGGGTCATGCATCGTTATATTTGTTTCGTGTAGCCATCGCATCATCACAAACACGGACCATGTGGCAGTTATCCATTACAACATGGACCATGTTGGGGTCACCTTGAATGAGTGCAAAAACACATGGGTCATTGGTCACCAATTGCAACATGGATCATGTTGCGGTCACCTCCAGCTTGCATGACTCTCCAAACACCACTCATGCAACCGGGGCATGTTGCACTGCAACATAGGCAATGTTGCAAACCCCAACGACCTATGCAGGCCAACCCGCACCGGTGAGCACCTTCGCTGGCGATAGCTAGCAAGCTTGCACCGCCCTCAAGCAACACCTTGGTTGCAGCACAGTGGTTGGATCTCAGCAGCGGCTCATCGACGACTTTTTAGCACCACCGTCCTTTGCTATGGTAAGTTTAGTTACGCGAGGATGGCAAGCATGGCAACTTTCGTGCTTCAGTTTTTGACAGAAACTTTCCGTGTATCATTGAAATTTGCTATCCTTGAGTTACTGGAATTGCCATCAAAAAATGTTTGGGCCAAAGTGTCACGCACCTACTCCCTCATTTTCGGTTTATATGGCTCAATTCAAAAATCTCACCAATCAAGGTAGATGATGAATGGTGGACTACTTTTTGTAGTTTGCAAAAGCACCTAATTAATGCACTTGTTTTCCTCAAAAAATTATGTTTATCAATGCATAAATTGCAATGCATGCATGCATAAAGTACATGCATTGGTCAATTTTCTCTTAATACTTGCATGCAATGATTTAATGCACCTTGGAATCTGAACATGTGATGGAAAACAACCAAATTTAGCCTTATAAAATGAAAAAATTAAAATTTTAAGATAAGCCCTATAAACCGAAAAGAAGAGAGTAACATGTGGCATTTATCATTTGTATTCTCAGATTTTATTGTCTACCCTCAATGCAAGGACAAATTAATTGTAAGAACATACTACCTCCGTCCGGGTTTAAAGGGCCGGACGGCAGGATTGGCAGGATTTAGGTGTCACTGAATGCGCTATCAGTAATTGTCTGTAATTAATCCCGGCCGGTGAAATCGGAAGGAAGCTAGCCAACCGGTGTGCCTCGCCCCACGCTCGAGGCTTCACACGCGCATGCAGCGCCCGTGCATGGCCAATGAAGGAGCTGGCTTTCCCGTTATTTGAGGCGCAGCGTTCGGCTCGCAGTTAATTCTATCGGAAGTCTAAACAAAACAGCAGAGAATCGAGGCAGCGGCCTAGTAAATCCGGACTCGGCATCGTGGCTCTCCGGCCAACAGGTCAACTTCTCAACTAAAGCAAAGCAAACAAATTGAACACACATTGTAGTACATGCTGCACGAGAGTGCTTGCAGATCCAGGCGCACAAAACTACGGTGCTTTCCCTTGTCTTAAACGACGACGTGCCCTGCCGGTACGCTGTGCCTGGCCGTGCTGTTGCCTCAGCAGTTGCCACCAGTGATTGACCTGCATCCTGCTCTGGGTACCCGCGCGCGCCGTCGGAGCTCGCGCCGGTGCCTTCCGCGCTCCCAACTTGTGCTTCACCAGCGCGCCGAACAGCGACTGCGCTTGCCCCCCGCCGCGCTTCTTCGCCGGCGCCGGCACCGGCACCACCGTCCGGCTCGTGGTCTTCTTCTTTGCGTCCTGGTTTTCCTTTGCGTCGTGGTTTTTCTTTGCGCCGTGGTTTTCCTTTGCGTCGTGGCTTTTCTTTGCGTCGTGGCCAATGCTGCGGTGGAACATGCCGCCGAGGTAGCTCCACGGCGACTTGCTGTTGTTGCCGCGGCGGTCGCGCCTGGGCACGGGGCTGCCGGAGCGCCCGCCACCGCCACCGATGTGGTGGTGGTGGTGATGGTCATGGCGGTGGTGGAACACCAGCGCCAGCTTCTCCTTGAACATTCGTAGCCGCCCTTCCCTTCTCTCCTGTCGTTCCCGGCGCCGGCGACTTCTTGACGCGCTCGACGCCTCCTTGAATTTGTGCTCCGGCAGCGCACTGCCTCGCCGCGGCGCTGACGCCGACGCCGACGAGGAGTAGGAAGAAGCTGAAGGGGCCGATGTTGATGTTGGCGCCGTGGGGCTGGCGGAGGGAGACGGGCTAGCGGCAGCTGACGAGCTGCTGCTGTACGTGCTGCCGGAGGTGATTGGGTCCAGCGCTCGCCGCGGCCGACGGCTTGACCAGCCCATGCTAGTGCTGCCACCGACGGCACCTTCCTTCCTCTGTCGCCGCCGAAGGCTCCGTTCTCCGCTTTCTTCAGATTCGTGTACGCGGCGCTCTGTGAGTTCCCGGGTCGGCCTGATGCGGCTGCTTATCGTGGCCGCCTCGCCACTGCTCGACGACGATCGCCTCGGCGTGGCCGCGCCGCGTCCGGCCCGCTCGGAGCCGCGGCGTGACCTCACGCCCATGGACAACCCAGACTCCAGCCTCCCGCTGTAACGACGCGTCGAGGAGCCATACGCCCCCACTCCTCGCACCGTGGCGCGACCATGCGACGAGGGCGCGCGGGACACGGAGCGGCGCCTGTTGCTCCGCTCTGGCGAGGACGACGACGACGGTGACGACGAACGATCACCACGTCCAGAGCTCCCGCGCAGCCTGCTATGCCTGTCGCTGCGGTCGGCGCGCGGAGCGTTGCCGCTCGCCACGCCGCGCCGTGGCTCGGCGACCCTGGACGAACGGTTGGAGGCGACGCGGGAAAGGCGCTGCTCCGGAGTGCTCGGACGGAGCCGTGGCTCGGCGACCCTGGACGAACGGTTGGAGGCGAGGCGGGAAAGGTGCTGCTCCGGCCGAGTGCTCGGACGGAGCCGTGGCTCGGCGACCCTGGACGAGCGGTTGGAGTCGACGCGGGAAAGGCGCTGCTCCGGAGTGCTCGGATGGAGCCGCGGCTCGGCGACCCTGGACGAACGGTTGGAGGCGAGGCGGGAAAGGCGCTGATCCGGAGTCCTCTGATGGAGCTGCGGCATCGCGGTTCTTGACGAGCGGCCGGAGTCGACGCGAGCAAGGAGACGACCGTCCCTCTCGCGGCGGCGATGGTCGTCGTACACGCTGCGGGCGTCCCGGCTTCTCGCCGAGCTCTGCGGCTTCAGCCTCCGGGACATCTGGCTGGCGCAGAGGCTGGGGCTGGGCGACGCGGTCGGCTTCAGGCGATGCTCGGCGTTGCCGCTTGTCCGGCGGCCTGGTTGGATCGAGAGCTTCCTCTCCACAGCAGGAGACATCAGGGGGCCTGACAGCAGCTGCAAGCGTACAGACGAGCGATCGCTCTGCTTATCAGCATTTGCCCAAGAAGGCAATATATAATTACTACTGCAAATGTATTATTACCTTTGCCTGTCTTAGGAGAGTCTGCTGAGTAGCGTTGTCTAGCATCTTCATTAACATATCTCTTGATGCCTCGTTCAACTGCAACAATGTTGAGTTTAAATTAGAGTTGCAACTGAAAATGTAAACGAAACTAAGATGCCTGAAGTTTTCTTGTATATTGGCAATTACTATCATGTTAGTTTCGAAGAAACGTTTATCTACCGTGGGCGGCATTTTTCATCTACTGTTCGATGTGTTGGATATTTCGTGCAACTATTTTTGATAATATACAATGAAACATTACGATATACTTCTAAAATAAGGGAAAATCCCATGGAACTTGATCAAAATATGACGAAACTTCAGCTCTGGTCGAGGTTGTCGCTCGGCCC